AGCCTCTGCAGCGCCAGTTCGATCCCTGGCCGCCAGGCGAGGGCCCCACATGGTGCGAAGACCTCTCCTGCCACCCACTGCTCCCCTCAGCAGTGTACTTTGTCAGTCTGCCTGTTCTGCTCTCTGCTCTGGCTCTGGTGGATTCTCTCACCCTCCTGCACTTCTGACTGTACCCAGTGCTTGTATAAAGAATAAATCTTTAAAAAAAAAAAAAAACGCTAAAAAAAAGAAAAAGAAAAGAAAAAAAAAAAAAAGAAGGAAAAAAAAGAAGAAAAAAAAGAAAAGAAAATTTAATAGTTAAAGATGCCCCTGATTGAACCTGTAGGTTTTGTGAGTAGACTCACTGAATTCTTAAGAGGTGGTTGCTTGGTAACCAATGTAAACAGCTTTGGCGCCTAAGCAACTAAGGAAAGTTAAGATGCAGAACCTCGCTTCTCCTTGCACTATTTTGTGGGAGGCCATTTGGAAGGTAGTTTCAAAACACTTCTGCTTTACCAGTATCTGAAAGAAGTTTATTAGCATTAGCTGAATGATGACAGGTACCCTGAAGTAGTGGAAAAAATTGGATTGTCAAAACGGTCAGTATTGCCTCAGGTACTAACCAGTACTGTAACCTTTAACATGTTTCTTCTCTCTGGGCCACAGTTGTGAAATATGTAATATAAAAAAGTGTTGGAACCAATCATCTTTATAGCAGTTTCCAGAATAATTGCAGGAGACAGCACTGTATCTTTGTGAGTGCATGGCAAGGAATGGGAATTATAAAGCAGATGGGAAAATGAAACAAACTTTCTGATGAGAAACTGGGAGCAGAGAAGGGATTTGAAACAAGCCAGGGTAAAAAGCTGTGTTTCCTGATCCCGTTCTCTCTACTGACCAAGCTTCTTTTAAACAGTCTACAGATGCCTCTTAGGACTATGGCTTCTCTAAATTTAATTTATATAAAAACCTCTGCAAACTTTTTAAAGTACAAATTTCTAGGTCTTACTTGCAGTCTACTCTATCAATATTCTGGGGTGCGGGACACAACAATCTACATTTTATTGTATTATTTTAGTTTTCCTTTTTTTTTTTAGTTTTTCTTTGCTTTTATTAATTTTTTTTCCTTTTGGTGAATTTTTGTTTTTACTGGGATATAGGAGATGGGTTGGGATATTTCACCATGGGGTATGTTCCATGAGTGAAATTCTACCCTAATCTTTCTGGAATAGCTTTTCTCCTTGGAATTGCTGCTCTTGCTATCAGCAGCCTCTTCCAGTCTACTGCTGAGTGGCTTTTCTTTTTATTGGAGACAACCTTGTTTCCTGCCTCTTCCTAGTCACTGACTGGTCACTTTGGGGGAAGATTTCATCCTCTTGTGAAGAAGTTTTCTTTCCCCTTAGGTTTGGAGGGGACATTCTCTTGAGGTTTTGTCTTTTCTTTCTTGGAAGTCCTTTACTTGTCTCATCTACTTCTGGAGTACTACTGCTAATTTCTGAAGATGCACGGGCAACTGGGTGAGCCACTTCTTTCCTCCTTGAGTGTTTCTTCTGTTTCTCCAGCTTCCTAGTAATCTCAGTAGATACTTCCTCTGCCTGAATCATTGCCTCCTTTGTGACATCCAGATTCTTCCATGGAATCTGTCCAGTCTCATAGAAGAACGGCTACTGCTCAACTTGTTTTCAAAGCTGCTCCCCAAATACTCTTGTTGGCAGAAACAATTTGTGAGGCAATACTGCTTTTATTTGTCAGGTATTGGGAGATACAGCCTTTGTTCTTGGCAGTTGCTTGACTAATGAAGGTGGCATGGAAATTGAGTCTGTATTTTTGGATTGCTGCCCCCTAGCTTTAATGCACTGGAAACTTGGTCCCTTTGCTCTGCCCTGGGAATCACTCAGATACCAGGACTGGGTAAAGGAATCTACATTTCAGCAAGCTCCTCCAGTGATCTTAATCTTGACCATATCTAATCAACATTGTTCCAGAAGTTGACTCTCCCCTCTTGGACCCTACCTCAGAATTCAGAATCCCGGGTGGAGATGAGACTGCTTTTAGTTTTGAAAAGCTCTTATAGATTCTCTGCTGAGGTTTTTATTACTTCTTAGCCTTTTCTTCTGCGTTGGTTACTACTGTTTTTTTTTTTTAAGATTTATTTATTTATGCATATAAGAGCCGGGGTACAGGCCAGAGATGTGGGGGTGAGAGGATTCACCAGAGACAGAGTAGGGAACGTAACAGGCAGACTGACTGAAATACACTGCTGAGGGGAGCAGTGTGACAGACAGGAGAGGTCTGCTGTGCCATATGGATTGCTCCCTGGCCGGCTGGGGATTGAACCTGTGCTGCAGAGGCTTCAGATTGCTTCATAGTGTGGTGCTTAACCCCTGGCGCCACCAGGGAGGCTCCGGTTAGTACTGTTTTAATAACAGAAGGAAAAAAGCAAGTTATCACTCCTTTTAGCATATACATTCAACTCAAATATTTCTGCAGAATGGAAGTTCCAGGCTAGGGGCTGAAGGTAGAGGAATGGGAATGTGAATAGAAGAGTGGAACTATATTTGGAATCTTTGAGATATCACCCATTTTGTGTCTTGATTCTTATGTCAGGGTTTAACTGCAGGCATGTGGCCTAACCTTTCCAACTCCATTCCTGCCTGTCCAGCCAAGTTCTAGATGTACAGAGATAGCGCTTGTGGTGTTGCTTCCCAGATTGAAGAGCCTGGCCTCCAGTGATGTTAGGTTTGAATAATTGTAGGATGCCACTTATGCAATTCCTTTTGCTGTCAGAGCACAAAAGCACCTAACACCTACTACTCTGCTTTCGGTTCTTAAGGGCTGTTTGTTGGGAGAGGACCCTGCCTCAGTGTTGGTAACATTTAAAATCAAATAATGTGGAGCCTCTAAACTTCATTCATGAGTATTTTCTTTCTTTCTACGGACCCTTTTTTTTATAAATTGCCTAGAGCCCCAATATTCCTAAATAATTCCATACATGCCCAGTGAATGTCCCAGTGCTTGGGACTCCAGATACCTGCCTTCAAGGGACTGTTGTCCATGCACTAAATCAACAATAAGAATTCCTCCCAGTTATATAATACTTACTTTGTAAGCTTTCAAAAATTTTTTCATGCATGTTCCCTAATTTTGAGTTTCATATCAATAATACATTAGAATAGGTATTTTTTAAAAGATTTATTTTATGCATATAAGAACTGGAGTACAGGCCAGAGGTGTGGAGGGTAAGAGGATTCACCAGAGACAGAGTGGGGAACAGAACAGGCAGACTAACTGAGGGGAACAGCAGGCGAGTGAGGAGTGGTCTGCTTTGCTATGTGGGTAGCTTCCTGGGCGGGGATAGAACTCCCACTGCAGTGGCTGCAGATAGCTTCATAGGTTGCGTCTTAACCCCTTGCGCCAGCAGGGTGGCCCCAAATTAGAATAGTATTAGACTTTATTTTGGATTGGCAAACTGAGACAAACTAGGGCTATTAAATAATATGCCCAAGGTAACATGGTTGGAAGTACAGAATCTGGCCTTACATTTGTCTTCTGACTCTAAGTTCATCTATGACAAACCTCTTCGGATTAAACCTCACTACCTTTTGTCCTGTCCCCTATTTCTTTTCAAAAGATCTATTTGGGCTTAGTGAATTTTATATAAAAGCTAGCCCTTAATACACCAAGAGGTCAGATTTAATACATGGAAAGATAGTGGAATAAATTAAGCTCAAAGGAGAGAAGTTACTGTGCTGTGAGTTATGAAGGAAAGAGAAACAAGCCAGGTAGGAAAGGCAGGTGTGAGCACTAAGTGCAGCAGGACACAGAACAATGATCTTGCCTTCATGCTTGCACATGAAGAGGCCCAATCTGTCCCTGGGAATGGCAAGGCCAACACAGCGATCGGTAGGGGTGAAACTTGAGCTAAAACTGATGTGGCACAGAGGTTAAATGCTCCCAAGACAGAATCTGGTAGTTCGATTTGAAGCCAGACTCCTCTACTTAAGGCCTATGTGATCTGAAGCAATTTACTGACCTCTAGGAGACTCAGCTTCTCCCACAGGCAATTAAGACCAAAATATCTTCCCTATGTAAATACCTTAGCAAAGTGCTCCATAGCTGCCATTTATTATTACTAGGCAAAGGAAGTGCTTCAAAAGGAATTTTTTTCTTAAATCACTAAATCTAGGCATTTGTTCTCTACAGTGTTTTCTATACTAGCTGAAACCTAGAAATAGCTTGCCCAGTAATTAAGGAAGAACCAACTGATTTCCCTACTTGATAAAATATTTTGTATCTATTAACAATGAAGGCCATGTAGCAATATGGAACAATGAACGCCATGTAGCAATATGGAAAAGTATTGCAGATTCTGAAAGACAGCAGAGCCAGAAAGATATGGTCTTTGGGCAATGCAGCTAAAGCCAAATATTTAGGATTCTCTGAGGTATCATAAGATCAAAAGGTAAGATAACTGGTATGGTAACAGATACTAAATAACTAGGAGTGATTTATAAATTCCTGTAAGAGATGGAGGCCTAGACAGGTCAAAAAAGAATTATGGGGCAAGAAGAAACTGAGGTAGGCCTGGGAGAATGGATAGAATTTATGTTAAATAGAGGGGAAAAGGCTATTTCATATAAAGGGCACAGAAGTAGTTCCACTATGTAGAGGACGGAATACTCAGAGATGGGCCAGGAGGCCTGAGAGCTGACCTGTCAGGACAGTCGTAGCTGGGGTCACATTCATGGAGAACCCTACATGCCAGGCTAAGTTGTCTGAACTATATGCTAAAAGCTTTTTGAACACAGAAAAAGCAATGTTTGAGGAAAAATATGGAAGCATGGGATATTGTTGAAAAGCAGTACTCCCTCATAAAGAGATGCAGGGCCAAGCTTTGGGGGCAAGTTTGTGAATTGTAAGGGTCTAATACAAGGAATATTTAGAATGCTGTGCCCTTCTTTCATCTTTCTAATTCACATGGTGTCCCCCACCCACTTCTGTCTCTTTCTTTACTGCCATAGGCTTCCAGTGTCTACTGACCACGGCTCTTCTCAGCTCCTCCCATTCCCTAAATAGGTCCAGCATCTGGACCAACCAGTGTAGAAGGAAGCATTCGCTAGGAAACAATGACCAGGAACAAACAGGGAAAGACCTTTTTATCCTACCCTTTCCATCAATCACACCCCCCACGGCTGGGATGGGGCATGGTTTTCTCATCCTTCAAAACAAGAAACAAGGAGGAGTGTACCTCTGTCTCCAGTGTGCCTCCAGTCTTCCACTTCAGCCCACAGCATTGTGCACAGCTCAAGAACCAATATTTGAAAAAGGCTGCTACAAACCTTACCTTCTCTCAGGAGGTAGTATGGCAACGAGGACTGCCCAGCATTCCTTATAGCCAGTACAGCTTTGACCATCTCTACAATACAGACAACATTATCCAGCCTCCCCAGATCAGGAGGACCCAACCTAAGAAACTGGTCAGCTTCAAGCTCTTGGAGTTTGCAGGTACCTCAGCAAGGGTTACTTCCCAGGCTGTGAAGACAGAAACCACTGCCAAACTTACAGTGAAACTGAAGAAATCAAAGCCAGCAAACCCAATCCAAGAAATGCCTTACCCTCTCACCCTTCATCCTTCCAGGGATCCAGACATGCTGGACACAGCTTCCCCAGATGTAAACCTGGAGGAAAGGGAAACCTGGCTTCCACCTTCTGAGAAGGCAGCCAGAGCTTGGGAGGCCCTTGTGCTGGAAAAGCTGAACAAGCGCACTGCCCGATGGATTCAAAACAAACGTCCCCCAAGGCCTGGGGTACCTTCCAACAAGTGGCAGAACTTCTTGCGCCAACAGTATGACTGGAGCCACATCCGGGATGAGCTCACTTCTGCTAGTGACTTGGAACTCTTGAAACAGCTGGAGGCCGAAGAGACAGCAGAATTTGAGGGAAAAAGTGTTATTCCACACATCCCGAAAAAAGAAAAGCCAGAGATGCTGCTTCCTGTTTATTACAGGTAGACTGGCTGGGGCCTTAGGCACCTTTAAAAATCCTCGTTTCCCTTCGAGGACTCCCAGGTGGGCCCATGTTCCTTATTTCTGAACTCTCCAGTCAACCTTTGTGTTCTCTATCACCAACCTGCTCTTTAAGATCTCCTTATAGTGAGGTTCCTCAACCTTGGCACTACTGACATCCTGAGATGGGTAATTCTTTGTTTGTGGGGGTGTGGGGGTCTGCCCTGTGTAGAGTAGAATGTGTAACAGCATCCCACTGGATGCCAGTAGCATTCTTCAGTTGTCACAACCAGAGATGTTTTATTTTATTTATTTAATTTATTTAATTTATTTTTTTTTTAATAGAGGCATGTTTTTATTTATTTATTTGTTTGCTTGTTTTGTTTATACATGCACTGGGTACAGTCAGAAGCGCGGGAGGGTGAGAGAATTCACCAGAGCCAGAGCGGGGAGCAGAGCAGGCAGAAGGACCAAAGTACACTGCTGAGGGGAGCAGCGGGAGCAGCACCAGAGCCAGAGCGGGGAGCAGAGCAGGCAGAAGGACCGAAGTACACTGCTGAGCGGGCGGCAGGAGAGGTCTGCGCGCCATGTGGGACCCTCCTCCGGTGGCTGGGGAGCAGCCGGGGATCGAGCCGGCGCCGCAGAGTCTGCGGGCAGGTTCGCAACCCAGCGCTCAACCGCTGCGCCACCGGGGAGGCCCACAACCAGAGATGTTTTAAAATTCACATATGTCCCCTGGAGGGACAAAATTGCTTCCATTTGAGAACCTTGAAAGGGACTGGTTCTCAGTCTTTCCCAGCAGATGGAGCTATTATCTAGCTGCTCCCAGAAATGTATCCATGGTGAGGGTGAGGAAGGCAGACACTTAAAAAAGGCTGTGAGGGGCCTCCCCGGTGGCGCAGCGGTTGAGCGCTGGGTTGCGAACCTGCCCGCGGCCTCTGCGGCGCCGGTTCGATCCCCGGCTGCTCCCCAGCCACCGGAGGAGGGTCCCACATGGCGCTCAGACCTCTCCTGCCGCCCGCTGCTCCCCTCAGCAGTGTACTTCGGTCCTTCTGCCTGCTCTGCTCCCCGCTCTGGCTCTGGTGAATTCTCCCGCCCTCCCGTGCTTCTGACTGTACCCAGTGCTTGTATAAATAAATAAAAAAATCTTTAAAAAAAAAAAAAAAAAGACTTATTTAAAAAAAAAAAAAAAAAGGCTGTGAGGCTTCATCTTGTATCACTTTGATAAGGAGCTAGTGTGTTGCTGACTCAAAAGCTGACCTGCAGCAGGACACAGACCAACCTGAGAGAAGAGATTACTGCATTTCTCAGATTGCTTCCTTTTCATTTTTTGCTAGAGGGAAGACCAGAGTTATTACAATGTCCCTGATTCCCAAAAGTGAAGAAAAAGCGGAAAACCATTTATGTATTCATTTATTGGACAAATATAAATTACATTTTCACTATTTTCCAGGCTCTCTACGAAGTGCTAGGAATACAACATAAATAAGACAGACGTGGACCTATCACTTAAGGAGCTTAAGTCCACTGGGGTGGACTTACATTAAATAAACATACACACACACACACACACACACACACACACACACGTGAGGTAATTAATGGAGGTGGTGGGTTCCTTACCCCAAGTTCCTTCCCCCATGTACCTCTAAGGGCCCCAAATTAAACAGGTCAATGCTGGGAGTGTGACTGCTCTATTATGCTGTCCTGAGACTGCAGAAGGATTGGTTCCATTAGGGGAGGAGGTAAGTAGCTAAAGATGGGTCTTTTTGGTAGCTCCATATTCATTTGACATCTTGGAGCCAAGGCCAATAGTTAAAACATAGGTGTTCTTTAGATGTTCATGTGTGTAGGAGCTAAGCTTAAGGAGAGGAAAGGGAGCTGTGGATCTGATGGAAGAGGATAGTCCATCTCTTACCTTTCCTTTATCTGCCTTTTTCACTCCTGCTAAGGTTACCCAATTACTTGCCAGAAGTATATTCAGTGGAATCCACGCCTTGCAACAATGAGACAACTGAGGATGTCAATGGAAAGATGAGAAGCTTCTGGCCACCAAACCAGAGCTACTTCCGACAGGTGAATCCCCGAGCTGGAAAGTATGCTTACTCCACAGACAACACCTTTGAACAGGAGATATACTTTGGTAATAAGCTGGGGTGCTGTGGTGAGGGCTGAGGTGGATGTGGAACAGGGAGGGGGAAGGCAGCTAAGAGAGGAAATAGTCATAAGTGTGGATGACAGGTCTTAGATGTCTCAGGTGTTCATGCAACATCTCCTAGCATTGTTTTTAGGGGAATAGGGAGTAGAGAACAGGTATCTGGTAGGGAGGAAATGGTTCTCCTCTTCCCCCTTTCTCTATCCCTCTATCTTACTAAGGGTTCAGTGGAAGTGGGGTTGTAAAGAAGGCAACCTACCTTTTTATATAACCTACTTCTCTGCCCACCTTTCTCACTTTGAGATATTCTCCCAATGCAGTGCCATGATGCAAAAAAAATCAAAGGTATTGGAGTCTGTACCTTTTATACTTTATTTGTAAAATGATAGTAACAAAAATACAACCTTCCTCTTCCATTTTGCCATTCCTTAGATGCCTAGACTCCAGGATGCATGATTTAGATCTGCATGTTCCAACTTGTTTATTCTTCCCTACTCCCATCTTGTTTCTAAATTGCTACCAACTGAAACTTTTTTTTTAATATTTATTTTATTTATACATAGAAGAGGAGTGTAGACCAGAGGTGCGGGGGGCCAGGAGAGTGTATGAGAGGATTCACCAGGGACAGAATTGGGAGCAAAACAAGCAGATCCACAGAAATACACGCTGAGGGAAGCAGCTGGCAAGACAGGAGAGGTCTGCTGTGCCTTGTGGGTCACCTCCCTGGCCGGGGATTGAACTCGTGCTGCAGTGGCTGTGGACAGCTTCAAAGTGCTGACACTTAAATCCTTGTGCCAGCAGGGAGGCCCCCAACTGAAAGTCTTTTAAAAGTGTCTAACAAAATTATTCATATGACTGATAAGCAATGAATTAGATAGCCCTTTATTAGAATCTAGCTTTTTAAAGGGGACAATGCCTCTAAGTTAGACAGGTTCTGCCTTGGCTTCCAGGTCTCTAAGCTACCAGTTCATATTTCCAAGCACCAGTCACCTGCAAGAGATGCCCCACACCCTGGTAGTCACAATGCCTAGGGGCTTAGAGTAGGTCAAAAGAATCCGAGTCTGATCTGGGTGATCAAAAACCCAGGAAGAGAAGGAGAGAGATGCTGGGGACTCATTATTTATCTGTTCACAGACAAAGTCCAGATCATCCACCAGTTAGGCAGAAAGAGAGACGAAATATTACTGGCAAACCTTAATCGGTACAAGAAGCATCTCTCTAAGATCTTCCCTGAAGTTCCAGAAAGGTGGACCTCCCAGCCGGTTCCTGAAGCAGGTAAGCAGACATTACCTGATGATAGAAATTAGCTATTTATTTAAGGTCCCTGTTTTATAGATTGGGGCACCATCAGTATCTATGGGAGTCTTTTCTTACCAACTAAAATTCATCTTAAAATTTATAAAATTATAAAACACCACCTGTAACTAAGAAAAGTCTAAACATCCATTCAGTTGAAATTAGATAAAACTTAGATGTAAACAAGTGATTTGGGGCCAGTAATTACCATTAAGGTTGATCCTGTCCCAATGCTTCCAGAGGAAGTAATGTAAACCCTTGCTCTTTTCCCTTGGGCTGGTTCTACCCTCCCACTCCATTTTTAGGCCCATATCTGCTTCCAGGTTGAGGGTTGTAGGTTTCTCTTTCACAAGTACACCATTCTTCACTCTGCAAGACAGGTAGTGAAATGGAGATGGTCAAAAATGAGCTTATGAAACAAAAAGTGACCACCCTCTGAGAGACTACATTGTGATACTTACTGATTTTTGTGGTATTTATTGATAGGTGATTTTGTGACTATGACTTTTAAACCATTAAGCGCTATGTAAACTCAAGGCATTATTATTATAATACTACCTTCCCCATAAGCCAACTCTATTCTCCATATCCTCTCCTCTGAGAACAGGCAAGTTCAAAAATAAAAAGTTAATCAGTGGTTCCTGGGGTGGGTGGGGGTAGAAATAAGAATAGGATGATAAAAGTATTCTAAAATTGGACAGTGTCAGGGTAGTTGCACAACATAGTTGCACAACTATGTAACAATACTAAAAATGAGTCATATGCACTTTTTTTTTTTAAAGATTTATTTATTTATTTATACAAGTACTGGGTACAGTCAGAATTGCGGGAGGGTGAGAGAATTCACCAGAGCCAGAGCGGGGAGCAGAACAGGCAGACTGACGAAATACACTGCTGAGGGGAGCAGTGGGCAGAGCAGGAGAGGTCTGTGCGCCATGGGGGATCCTTGCCGGCTGGCCGGGGATCGAACAGGCACTGCAAAGGCTGCAGGCAGCTTTGCAGCCCAGTGCTCAACCGCTGCGCTACCGGGGAGGCACTAATATGCACTTTAAAAAGATTAATTTTACAGCATGTGAATTCTACTTTGATAAGGCTATTTAAGAAAAAAAAGTCCTCTGAGCATCCTACTACATGCACGGCAACTTCACCACCTATCTCATTTGCTTCATAGGCACTTCTTCCCCCGTGGCACTGGAATCCTGCCCTCTTTTCCCCCAGAAAAAAGAACATTTAATGAATTGATGCTGTGGGATTTTTCATATCCAACTTCTTTTTAAAATAGTATTTGAAATTGATCTGGGGGAAGTCAAGTCAGAATAGTAATATATACACTCTTTCTCGTAACCACTTTGCTCATCATCTCATCTCAGGAAATATTAGATATGAAAGAACCTGGGGGAAAAAAGGGAAAATTCCTGGGGTGAGTGTGGTAGATTTTTTTCCCCCTTTCTACTTGATTGTATTGAAAAATGTAGATGATAACTTAAATAATGAAAATTCTCATGAGATAAAGTATATTTATTACTAAATAATCTCCAGTTTCCCCTGAAACATGACATAAAACTCTTTAGTGTGCCCAGATCACTAAAGTTCCAAGCACAGGTTTTATGCTACAAGTCACAAAGGCACTTTTTCTTCCTGATAACAAAGTGTACTGTGCCTTTGTCCCATACCAAAAAAAAAAAAAAAAAATTAAAAGGTTTTATGCTTCCTTTAAAAGATGACTTTTGATGCAAAATGGCAAGTAGATGTGTTTCTTTCTGCCTGTCAACTCAAAATACTGCAAGTAAAATTAGTACTGACAGTTGTGTTTTTTCCCCACAGAGGTCATGTCAGAGATTTTAAAAATCCATTTTAACTCCCTGAGCAGAGGGGTTAATTTACCAATTTTTCACTTCCTTGGGAGGGATTTCAAGCATTCTGAGGAGTGTGGGAGTTTCATGTGGCAAAGTATCTACTCACTGAGAGCTGACCTGCTGGAGGTGGTTCTATAGCTTCTGGCTGCACACATCCCATACTAGAAAGGAATGAAGCCCTCAGGAGAGCAACTGAGTTTCCCCGGCATGACCAAACTGAGTGAGGGACATTTAGAAGGTATTTTCTGTGTGGGCATCTGAGCTAAACTGCCCTGGAGTCTCAAAAGACTTTCTTTGTACATTAGAAGAAAGAGATGGAACTGCCCTCCTAACTCAAAGGAAAGAACTGATACAGAGAATTCTAAAATTGTAGGAAGTTAGAATTAAATCTTAGAAGAAATAGATGGTTGACAGTGATAGATTACAACAAAAGCCTGATAAGCAAGGTGGCATATAGTAAATTCAGTAACCTGGAAATGTTCTTTTTTATATCTGTCTGGCCTTCTCCACACAACTACTGAGGCTCTCTGAATCTGTCTGACCCCAGGGAGAATAATAAGTATTTTTATATAACAGTTTATATAACTTTTTTCCTATTATCAAATTTCCAAGTGCTACTTGTCATAATTAGGAAAAACTCAGAAATACTAAAATCTTTAAAATTTAGCAACTTTGTTTTTTTTAAAGATTTATTTATTTATACAAGAACTGGGGTACAGTCAGAGGCACAGAAGGGTGAGAGAATTCACCAGAGACAGAGTGGGGAGCAGAACAGGCAGATGGACCAAGGACACTGCTGAGGGGAACAGTGGGGGAGGCAGGAGAGGTCTGCCATGCCATATGGGAATCTCCCTGGCCGGCCAGGAATCAAACCCGTAATGTGGAGGCTGCGGACAACTTCACAAAGTGGTGCTCAACCAGCTGCACCACTGGGGAGGCCCAAAATTTAGCCACTTTGTAGCACCATTTCTCCTTCCCAATTAAAAACAGAAAGAAAACTTAATAAATTAGGAATGGCCAATTACATTCTACTTTAAATTGCAGTATATAAAATGTTGAGTTTTATGAGCAAGCACTATTACATATAAACATGTTTATGTGCCTACATCTTTATTAAACCTATGACAGCTTTTTCATGTATCAGTTTTTCTCCTCCCTCATCATGAATTCGTGTAGTCACACATGGGACTTACATTCAGTTTCCTATGTAATCAGAGGAAAGTTCACTCTTGTGAGTTTTGTTTAGCTTTAGTGTTAGGCAGGAATGAGAATGTGACACTAGCTGGCAATGCAGGCCCAGGGCAGTGCGCTGAGACCTCATGCTGCCATGCTATAGTTTATAGGCCTGTGAAAGGAGCCCAGCGCTGGACTGCTTTGCCCACTCCGGTCAAGGATCTGCTGCTGCAAGTGGGTGAGAAGGATGTGCCCAGTAAGACCAGGAGGAAGCAGGGAGATTCTCTAAAGGAGAATGTGACTTGGGAACTGGTGGTTCTGCGGAAGATGCTGCAGGAATGGAAGACTGGCTGGGCGCTAAGTGAGTGATGGGGTGGAGTGGTGAGTGTGATCTCTGTGGGTATTTGTGTTGGGGGAGGCTCTCATCTTGGACTAGTGTTTCTCCATCTTTAAGTATCCATCCCTCCTTCGTGAAACATAAAAATTCGGTTGCCTCACAAAAGAGGGGAGCAGCGGGGTAGGCAGGAGAGTCTTTCACAAAATGTTAGATGAATGTTAGTTGAAATGTGTCTGGCTGCTTTTTGCTCAGGTGGATTTTACTTAAATTAGTGGAAACTCACTACACTGAGACTCTTCATAGAAAGGAGCCCTCATCTTACCAGCTGCTGAAACCTTATGCTAATTAAATGAAATGACAAAATACGCTGCCCAAGCAATGGAAATTGTAGTTGGCTGAACAGCTACATTTGTAGTGGCATAAATAACCCCTTCCCAAAATTCCCTGATCAGGCTGGGATTGTCACGTAGCTGTGCTATCATACAGCTATATTTTTTAAAAAAGATTTATTTATACAAGAGCTGGGGTACAGGCCAGAGGCGCGGGAGAGTAGAGGATTCACCAGAAACAGAGTGGGGAACAGAACAGGCAGACGGACCGAAATACACTGCCGAGGGGAGCAGCGGGCGAGACAGGAGAGGTCTGCTGCGCCATGTGGGTATCTCCCCAGCTGGCTGGGAATCGAACCAGTGCTGCAGAGGCTGCGGACAGCTTCACGGCGCTGCGCTCAACCCTCTGCGCCACTGGGGAGGCCCCATATAGCTATATTTTTGCCTTCAGATATATGGGAGTAGAACACTGAGTGTCTGGGGCAGAGTAAAAGTATATCCAGGACTGTCGAAAGCTCCAATATTTGAGGACTCTAGGGTTGCTGGCTTTTAGAACAAGAGAGATTAATTTAGTACAGGAAAAAGAGGTGATCCATTTTACATAAACCAGATAATATAAAGGAAAAAAGACTGAAAAAGATACTCTGAGTAAAAGCTACTACAAGGGAGCACTTACAGATGGTAGAAATAAATACTGAAATAAAAACTTGATACCTGCAAAGCGAAAAGTTGGCAATGAAATGAAGATGGAAAACAAAGAGCCATCAAAGGTACAGAAACCTAGTGATAATTACAATCATTTAATATTTAAACCATTATCTTGCTAGACATTCTGCTAAAAAGTGTGTCTTGTTAACTCATTACTCAAAGGAACTCAATATGATAGGTTCTAGTATTTTTCCCATCTTACAAAATAGAAATCTAAAACTCAGAGATTAGGTAACTTTTCCAAGGTCACAGAGCTAACAACTATGATTCCAAACCAGGTATGCCTGACAACAAAGTACCTTTAACCACTATGTTTTATTGCTCTTTTCATTTTCCAGAGTAACAATGAAAAGTTATTTAAGCAAGGAAAGACTAATAGGAATGGACTTGGAGAATTTTTGTTTGAGAACTGCTCAAGAGGGTACATGGGTCATCAGAGAAATAACTTCCCAAAAGACCCCACCTCGGGGCCTTTTATTGTTGTGAGCCAAAGTTTTGCTTGAATTGCTAGAGGGAAGTAGGAAGAAGGGGACTTCTTGTTCTCTGCCTACACACGATATTTAAGGTAGTTCTCTTCTCATTTACCTCCCTGTGGCACAGTTACTGAGTGGCACCATAGGACAATAGAGGGCCTGCTGCAGAACTTGAGGGACATGCATGATGACATTCGGATCCAAGCCATCATCACGTGTGCCACAGCTGCTTTAGAACGGCCCCGGATTGCCATCAGTCAGAGTGACTCAGGTGAGAGTCAGAAGAAGACTGCTTGAGAATGTAAACAATATAAGCAAATAGAACATTTGTACTGCTGGGGACCCTGGATCTTATCTGAGGTCATTTTACAAATCCAGAAACCAAGAACCAGAGACCGGCCTAAATATACAGTTTAATGCTGAGATTAAAATTCTTGATTTCTAGATCAGTTCTTTTTGAACTACATTTCATCTTTCTTTGTTCAGTAGATTTCAGGGAAGTTCATATTATCCCACATTGAGAGATCTCCTTCACTATAGCCAAAAATTATACACACACCCCCCCCCACATATTTAAATATTTACTTATTTTTGCGTGGAAGGACTGGGGTGTAAGCCAGAGGTGTGGGGGGTGAGAGGATTCATCAGAGACAGTGGAGAGCAGAAGAGGCAGATGGACTGAAATACACTGCTAAGAGGAGCAGCAGGCAAGACAGGAGAGGTCTGCTGTGCCATATGTAGGTTAACTTCCTGGCTGAGGATCAAACAGGCCATCGCAGTGACAGTGCTGAGACTTAACCTCTAGGCCACCAGAGAGGTCCCCCAAATTATATTTAAACAAACACACACACATTCTTCTCCCAACTCTACTTTACCCTTTCTTTGATAGCATATCTCAAATTCAACAAGTTCAAAACTGAACTCCTCATCCTTACCACAGACTCCACCCCACATTCCAAATGTCAGTCAGCAGCCCCACAATCTATCATTCTGATTCAGTCATTCTGGACAAATCATTTTTCTCCTTACAACCAATTAAATTCTACTAATTCTGGATCTCCCTGGTGCCCTATTGCCTAAGTTCAGCCTGAGGCCTGAGTTCAGTCCTGGCCAGGGAACTAACCCACCTATGGCACAGCAGACCTCTCCTCTCTTTCCAGCTGCTCCCCTCAGCAGTGTATTTCAGTAAATCTGCCTGTTCTGCTCCCCTTCTATCTCTGGTGAATCCTCTAACCCCCTGCACCTCTGACCTACACCCCAATTCTGTGCAAAAATAAAAATAAAAATTTTTAAAAATATTTAAATAAAAATAAACTCTACTAAATCTGCCTCATAAATATCTCACCTTTTTTAAATTACAAAAGAAAAAATGTCATTATTAGTCAACACAAAAGAATACATAGAGGTAACTACCTCTATCCACCTCATTTCCCAGGTCCAACCCCACCCGTTGCTACCTTCCTTGGGTAATCAATGTTTACAATTTGGCATTTCACATCTCTCTCTGAGTTTACAAACAAGTGCCAACATATAGGTGGGTTTTCTATTTATTACAAAGATGAGTGTTGAATTAAATCATACTTTCTAGTTTTTCCTGTGATTTGTGTATATGATGAATTTTGTTGTTAAATTCTTACAGTAAATCTTAATGGATTGCCAGATATTATCCTTTTGTTACTCTGAATGTGTTACCTGTTAATATTTTGTTTTATGCATTCATAAGTGAAATCAGAAGTTTTGTTTTTATTGACACTAATTTTGTTCAGTTTTAGTTTTCCCTAGCTTTGTGAATGTGAAGAGTTGGCCATTTTTTCCAATAGTCTGCAATCTTTTTTTTTTTTTTTTTAAAGAGGCACGTATTTTATTTATTTATTTATTTGTTTGTTTGTTTATACAAGCACTGGGTACAGTCAGAAGTGCGGGAGGGTGAGAGAATTCACCAGAGCCAGAGCGGGGAGCAGAGCAGGCAGAAGGACTGAAGCACACTGCTGAGGGGAGCAGCGGGCGGCAGGAGAGGTCTGAGCACCATGTGGGACCCTCCTCCGGTGACCAGGGAGCAGCCGGGGATTGAACCAGCGCCGTGGAGGTCGCGGGGAGCTTCGCAACCCAGCGCTCAACCGCTGCGCCACCGGGGAGGCCCAGTCTGCAATCTTTTGAAAAAGAAATGTCAATAATCTTTTTCTTCCCTAGAAAGCAGTTCCCAATACAAGAGCCAGAACTGTAATCTATTAAAGAATTGGTTTAATAAGACAACAGAACCCAGATAATGAAAACTATAAAATGCTATTGAAAGGACATAAAACCAACTGATTCTATTTATCCCTCAAGCAGCTCCTCGGACATCGCCTTTAATGTGAAGCCTAGGCTGGCACATGTTCCTTCTCTGCTGCTGATGGCATCCTAAATATTCTGTCCTAGCATTTATTACTCTATGATAATTGTCTATTTACTTTTGTTATCTCTATCAGGCAAGGAACTCCTAAGAGCACTCATTTTACCTCTACAAAGCTGTCATGTTCTTAAAATTTTCCTTTACTTAATTCCTGTTTATTGAGTTCCAGATACATGTGTGTTTCTCCTCTAGGTTTTCAAATTGTTGCTCCCTCTGCTGGAAGATTCTTCCTCTCTCTTCACGAGATTAACTGCTGCACTCGCCCTTCAATTTTCAGCTCAGGTGTCCCTTCCTCTGAGGCATTTTCCCTACCCCACCACTCTGACTTGGTTCAGTGTCCCTGCTATACACTCCCACTCATAGTTTTATTATAACAATTACCTTGGGTTTTAAATGGGATGATGTGTTTTTAATGCCTGACACATAGAGAAAAACTTCAACAGGCAGGAAAAGATATTATAATGTTATCTTCAAATTTCCTCATACATTTGAAGACTTGTCTTCCCTCAGAAGGATTGTACCTTGCATATGATCCCTTTCATATGTTCTGGGTGTCTAGATTTTGATTTGTCTTGTTACTTCCACAGAGAAAATTATTTTACTCATTTCTTGAAATATTCAGTTGACTTTTATTTACTCCTCTGAAATATACATATTCCTAACAAGCCCATTCTTAACAGATACCTTAGTAGTTCATGATGGTGACAAAAAGGACAGATCATTAGAAATCCTAAAATCTTAGTCAAAGGCTCAGCTCTACTGCTTTTTGGGAAGTCAATCTCTCAGAGCAGCAAATACCTTATCTATAAAATAAGGAGAGCTGTGGACAAAGGGCAATCAATACCTTTTCCCCTGCTACTTGAGAATTTTAGTTTTAGATAAATGCCTAACTATTCCTCTGATAACAATAAGGATAGGAACTATCTTTATAGGCAACATTATGATAAAAAATGAAGACTGAATAATGAATTATATTTGGGCTGGGAATAACTGAAATAAAAATAGCTGATAGAGATATCACACTTCAGTCTCTTTGAATGTTGTGATTTAGAATAGGTATGCCCTTTATTGACCTTGAAATTATTTCTATTGGCGGTGTTAAAACATGTTTCTATGAAATGTAAGACTTGTGCTTAGAGTGGATTCCATGCTCCTGAACTTTCCCCAGAAGGCTCCATGGATGCTGTACAAACTACGTCAAGAACTCTGGCCAAAAGTAACGCCTAATGTTGCCCTTTCGGCAAACTGTGCCCCATCCTGTGCTCTCTGAAAACTGGTGCCATGTGTGGCCTATGATAATCTTATGAGTCTGAAAATTGGTTAAACCTAAAGACACTCTGGTGAGCTCTGCAGTAATTCCTGTTTTGCCTACTTCAATAGTTAGAAAATTGAATGATAATGAATATGAAAACACTATATAAACGACAAAATAGTACCTAAATATAATTGTTAGTAATTAAAAATACAAAGATAAGTAGGTTGACTTTCATCACTAAAATTAATGTGAAGGTTGCTATGACCTAGCTGGAAACATTTGTCTTTGGTTTGAATATAGCTTTTTAAAGGCCAGATGATAAAGGGTAGGAACTTGCATACCCAGCACAGAAGTGAACCATAAAATCCCCATTACAGGGCTCAGTTAAATTCTATTTAGAGCCTGAGGTTGGACATCATGGGGAAGAAAGCTGCATTTCAGAGAAAAGCAAAGTGGCTAGTCCCCTCTTACCTAGCTCTCTCTTAATTATAGACAAGGAGATTGTGAAAGCCCCACCTATCCAGGACTTACCAGAGGCTCTACATCCTGCCCTGGAGGCTGCTCTTTGTGACAAGAATGCCAATGTGCGGATGGCAGCAGCGCTATGCCAGTATGCCATACAGTCACATAATCCTCTTGCCCAGGAGATCATGCAGACTGCCCTTTTGAAGGGTGAGTAACTCCCTGATAATTCTTTTTTTTTTTTTTTTAAATAGAGGCATGTTTTATTTATTTATTTGTTTGTTTGTTTGTTTATACATGCACTGGGTACAGTGAGAAGCGCGGGAGGGTGAGAGAATTCACCAGAGCCAGAGCAGGCAGAAGGACCGAAGTACACTGCTGAGGGGATCAGCGGGCGGCAGGAGAGGTCTGCGTGCCATGTGGGACCCTCCTCCGGTGGCCGGGGAGCAGCCGGGGATTGAACCGGCGCCACAGAGGCAGCAGGCAGCTTCGCAACCCAGCGCTCAACCGCTGCGCCACCGGGGAGGCCCAACTCCCTGATAATTCTAATCTGGAAATAGGGGGTAAAGAGAGGGCATCTCACCATCAGCTTTTCCTAATCCTTCCCTCTCATGCCCTGTGATATCTCCTGTGCTGAGTTTTGGTTTATTAGAACAGCTTTCTTCTGAGGTAGTGTTACAAATTAGGTACATGCCACCAAATGGTACCTGTGCATTTGACCCTCTTTCACACAACTTTCAATAAATTGAAAAGATAATGTAACAATATTAAAGAGTACTTTTTGAAATGAAAGAATCACCTCTGAACACACATTTTTGCACATTTACTTCTAGGCATTATTCACATGTATTGCTGGAATAATGCAATCAAAAATGTTCTGTCAGGTGATAAGCCCAATGTGCCTAATTGTTCCCCTCTAGGAGGGGAGAAACAACAAAAGCCTCCATTCCAGTCTTCCCAGTATCTAGAGGGAAGAACAGCTTTATCTCTCAGCCAGACCAGAAGAGCCTTACTGCTCTAACACCCAACATGAGTCTTTTAGGATTTGACTTCTCATGTTAAGATTTTTCAGTTTCTATTTTAAAGCCTTGATATAATCTGTTTAAATACAGGATTGGATTTCTAGACTGAGAGGGGTACAAGAAAGTGAGATATCAAGCAGGTAGCAGTCTTGTGTACTAACCCAAAGACTTTTCTGGGAACAACAGATTACCACTTTTTTTTTTTTTAAAGATTTATTTTTTTTTTATACAAGCACTGAGGTACAGGCCAGAGGCGTGGGAGGGTGAGAGAATTCACCAGAGACAGAGCAGGAAGCAAAACAGGCAGAAGGACAAAAGTACACTGCTGAGGGGAGCAGCAGGTGAGACAGGAGAGGTCTGCCTCGCCATGTGGGAATCTTCCTGCCTGGCCGGGAATTGAAGTGGCACTGCAGAGGCTGCGGACAGCTTCACAGCACTGTGTTCAACCCGCTGCGCCACCAGGGAGGCCCTGTTTTTTTTTTTTTTTTTTTTTTTTGAGATTTATTTATTTATACAAGAACCAGGGTACAGGCCAGAGGCGTGGGAGGGTGAGTGGATTCACCAGAGATTGAGCGGGGAACAGAACAGGCAGAGAGACTGAAATACACTGCTGAGGGGAGCAGCAGGCGAGACAGGAGAGGCCTGCCTCGCCATGTGGGCATGTCCACAGCCAGCGGGGATCAAACCAGCACTGTAGAGGCTGCTGACAGCTTCACAGCGCTGTGCTCAACCACCTGCGCCACTAGGGAGGCCCCAGATTATCACTTTGGACTTTTTTTTTTCACCCATCATGGCAGGTAATAGTGTGGACAGCTGGGCTGCAGCTCAGTGCTTGGCTGTGGAAGGTGCTGCCACCTATCCTGTGATTAAGAGGATCCTCCATCAGCTGTTTAACAAGAAGAATGAGGCCACTGCACAGCAGTCTTGTATGCTCCTGCGCCACCTCAGTGAGAAGACAGTATGTGTTCATTACAGAGTCAGAGAAAAAAAACCCAGTTTGGAGAAACCAGTGGGCCACTGAAGTCAGTGCATGTAGGAATCAAAAATGCAAGTAGTTGGGTGGGATGGTGTCAAGCATAGATAAGTGGACTCAGTGTAAGTGAAATGGTATAGAGGTATATATAGGAAGAAAGTGACAACAGCTAGCTGAGAGAAAGGTGCACAGAATAGGTTACAAAATTTTTTTTTTTTTTTTTGTGGGACCCTCGCCGGTGGCCGGGGAACGAACGGGCGCTGCAGAGGCTGTGGGCAGCCTCGCAGTCCAGCGCTCAACCGCTGCACCACCAGGGGAGGCCCGGTTACAAAAGTTTTTTAACTGTGTATGCAAGAATAGTTATGACATGTAAAATTTACTTTTGCTAGATGTTTATTATTGAAAACTGCAGGGACCTACAATGGTGTTTATTTTCAGTAGAAACATGAAACTCACAGATCTGAGGCATATACAAATCTTTTGGGAGTAAAAATAAAGTCAAGAAGAGAAGGCCCCGAAAGTTTTGTTTTGATTACTAAATCTGTATTTTGGTCCTTGATTTATAATCCCAGAAGTCAGATGGAAGAGTAATCCATATCTGATAAACCGACTCTTTCCTAGGGTAAGCATCTCATGTATTTATGACATTAATTATGCTGGATGCCATGCTAGGATGTAATTTCTTCAATGTTCCAATATCTCTAAAAATGATCATGAATATCTAAACAAATCTTCTGTTTCCTCAGACTCTGGTAAACACCATGCTGGCGGTGGAGCTAAATAGCCATCAGTGGAAGGACCGGATTATCGCCTGCCAGGCTCTCTCCTGGATTAATGGAAATGTCAGTTTGGTAAGCCTTCTCTTTGTGTTTTCAGAACACAAAATCTAATCAACACCGGGCTGGGAAACACTTTCACTGTCTGCTGCAATCTAGAATACCATCTAACCAAAAAGACCTCTGTCCCCACATTGTTACCTCTTACCCCTAACCCAGAATTATTTTCAAATGCCAACATGTGTTTCTAACTTAAGGTGCTGTTTCTCAATGTGGTGGCAGTCCACAAACTGTTTACAACCCACCCACAATGAAATAAGCAAAAAAAAGCATTTAGACACTATTATAGTGATTTGACATGGCCTCAGCATCAATGTACTTCAGTTAGTCCTAAACTCAGGAAAACTCCAGGCAAACTGGGATGAATTGGTCACCCTATTAATCTACCACCTTGCAGTTTTATAAAAGTATCAGTAACACTCCCCACGGCCACCTTCAAATTGGTCTTTCATCACAGATAGTTTGAGAAGCCCCAACAACCAACAACCCAACTTCACTGGAGTCTATGCTGGCTCTCCCTAAGTGTTCAGCACACACGGGGAGAAAGCATAAAACACAGACCCTACTTTCAAAAAACCTTCACAGAGTAACAAGACCAACATACACAAATAATTCAAAACAAGCAATAATTTAAGGTAATCTCTCAAAACTTTTCAGAGATTAGAGTAAACCGTAAACCAAATTTATCAGTTAAAATTTTGCAAAGGACTATGAACTGCGCAAGACTTGGATAGTACTGAAGAAGGGCTTCCAAGCAAGAGGAACCTGACCATTTAGACTTTTGTCTGACTTCTTTTTTGCCATTATTTTTATATCACCTTCAGCTATCCAAATGGGATTTTCCCTTTTTATGTGCCACCATATCCTTTCCTTGTAACACTTCCTCCAGGATGGTTTAGAACACTGCCAGTAGTGAACACCCCCCATTTTTGAGCCTTACATTCAAATGTGGGAAGCACATAATCTAGCTATTAAGTATCCTCATCTGCAGGCTTTTTGAGGTGGCTTAATTTGGCAACTGCAATAGGAAGTTAGTTCCCCGCTGCTGAAGTCTGGGATCAGCAGCACAAGCATCACTGGGGAGCTTGTAAAGTACAAAATCTCACCTCAAGTCAACTCAACCAGAATCTGCATTTTAACCATATCCAATTCATTCGCACATTTATCTTCTTAGTACTTGTCACTCAAGATTGTCAGTTGAAAGTAAAATGATATTTAGAGGAAGGAGATAGGGTAAAGATGAGAACTTCACGTCAGACTGCTGGAATTAGGAAAGGCAGTATATCTTCCACTTATAAGATGAATTAAGTGCCAGGGTAATATACAACACAGTGATTATAGTTAACACTACTACATGATAAATATGAAAATTGGTAAGAGAATAGATCCTAAGAGTTCTTATCATGGAGAAAACCATTGTTTTCTTTTTTTTTTTTTTAATAATATCTATGACATGATGGATGTTAAACTTACTGCTATAACCATTTCATGATATATGTAGGTTAAATCCTGCTGTATCCCTTATCTATTGATCTTTGTCAGTTACATCACAATGTAACTGGGGGTGGGGGATGAAAGGCAGTATGTCTATCAGTTCTTTCATTTAGTAAGCAAGCAGTTTCTCACCACGTGCTAGATGCTAGGCACTGTGCTACCATTGCCTTCTCATTGTAAATGGTATAAATAGCTATATCAGAAGCAGCAGTGAGGTTTTATGGGGATTTCCTATGTTTACAGATGGCAGAGGAGAGTTCACTGAGGAGATGCTTTTTGAGCCAAAGTCTAAAAAATAAGTCGGAAAACATCAGGTACTCAAGTAGGGAAAGAAGGAGATTTTTCTGGTAGGGAGAATAGCTTGGCCATAATTATACAATCATCAACTAGAGTGATAATAATCTTTGTTCCTTCCCCTATGACAGAAGTACTAATATATAGAGGGGTGAACTGTCCTATTTGCCCAGGACATGGACAAACTGTTAGTACTTAACTCAGGAAAATTCCAGGCAAACTGGGATGAATTGGTCATTCTATTAATCTATACCTTAAAATTTTAAGTCTCTCAAGTACAGATTACATTAGCCCCAACGTAGTATCATACTTTAAAGTATGAGCTTAGAAAGCAGGTCTGCCTCTGAGTCCTGGCTCCAACTCAACAAGAGAACATTGTTCTTAAGCCTTCATTTTGTCATTTGTAAAAGGTAATACTGACCAGTGCCTCACTGGATTATTTGGGAGGATTAAGTGATGAGTAAAAACATTTAGCACAGTGCCAAGTACAAAACTGATATTCAATAAATTATAGATAATTATTACACACTTACAGGATATGAAACATAAGTTGATCCAGCTGATGTGGAGTGACTGGAATAAGAAAGTGAGAAAAGCAGCTGCCCAAACTCTGGGACAAATGAGTCTTGGGAAAGAGGTGCATGACACAATAAGGTAAGACCTAATTAACAAAGGGAAACTTTTCTGTCGTTAAATATGTTCAGGGGGGGCCTCCCCGGTGGCGCAGCGGTTGAGCGCTGGGTTGCAAAGCTGCCCACAGCCTCTGCAGCACCAGTTCGATCCCTGGCTGCTCCATGGCCACCGGAGGAGGGTCCCACATGGCGTGCAGACCTCTCCTGCCGCCCACTGCTCCCCTCAGCAGTGTACTTTGGTCCTTCTGCCTGCTCTGCTCCTGGCTGTGGCTCTGGTGAATTCTCTCACCTTCCCACGCTTCTGACTGTACCCAGTGCTTGTATAAATAAATAAATCTTTAAAAAAAAAAAAAAGTAACAAACACCTATTGAGGTCAAGTTTCATGAGGATGTAAGACCATACAGGGACAGAGAAGAAGAGATTCCAGGCTGGGAGCCAAATGCACAAATAAGCATGGTACAAGTGAGGGCAGTGGAGAACTTGACTATGGCACGAGGAACATGTTGAAAGTTCCGTTTATTTAGTCATTCAACTTAGTGCCTAACATATACTAGGTAATAGGGATTCAAGTAAGTAAGATATCTGAGGACTCTACCCAGTGAAACCTAATCTAATGAGCATAAGACTAACTAGTAAAGGATGGGAACAGATGGAAAGCCTGTAGAGGCTGGATTTTATCCTGAGGGCATCAGTGGGGAGCAAGGACACCAAAAGTTAAAGAAGGGAAAATAAAAATACCTGTACCTTACAGAGTCAAGCTGGGTCAAGGAAATTCCCAAGAGCGTGTGGAAGCCCTCACCCTGATTGGTGGACTCAAACTCATGACCGCCAAGCTCCTCCCAAATTTCCTGAACTGCTTCTCGGATGACTTTATGGCAGTTCGGCGGGCAGCCTGTCAGGCAGCCGGTGCCCTGCAGATCCGGGATAAGATGGTGAGTCTAGGAATCACATTCCCATCTTACATGATTAAAGTATAGAGGGCAATATTATTGTGTATCATACTCTCACTATCCTAAGGGGACACAGAGCTATCAGGACCAGGAAGGAGAGGGATATAAGCCAGACATATCAGTTAGGACCACATTAAATTCCCAGCCAGCTCAGGCTTCACTGTAGACTACACTTCTGAATCCTTTCTCACCTCAGCCAACTAGCTTCCCATTACATGGAAGCTGGTGGGCTTTAAGATCAACTCCATAAATTGAGTTATAACCCCCAGTTATTAGAAGAAAACTTGATGGAGGTGTTCAAAATAAGCCTGTAAGGCAGAGATCTGTGAGTTGAGAATGTCAATCTACAGATATAATTCAGCTAATATACTACATGTGCATGCTAGTATTCCAGGTTCCAGCTCACTTGTTACTAGAATTGATAGGTTATTTTTCAGTTACAGCACATTTTAGAGACAGGAGGGGTCACTATCTCTAGTTCATTCTTGCTCTGGTTCTCTCCCGTCAACACTGCCTTTTATCCATCCCAGGTCCTTGAATGCCTTCAGAATCTGATACAGACAGATCCTTACTGGAAAATCAAGGCTGTTGCCATTCGAGGTATTACAGAAGGAGTAGTTCCAGCCCTTCAACCTAAAATCCCTTCCCACATATCAGTATAGATGATCTCCTGAATCTCTCTAGGAATGGGTTAGAGTATAGGCAAGGGGATGATCACAGCTTCTCAGAAGTTCCTTGCCTGGGAAATTAAAGATTATTTTCCTCTTTTTAATTTTTAGTTAAGGATCGCCAGGCTAGGTCTCTTCAAACTTAAGGCAAAGAGCTAAGACTGTCCCTGCCAACAAAATTAGGTGTAAGTTCTAAGAAGGTATCCACATGTTGAATACATTTACTTTTTTTTGAGGTTTCAACTATAGGACCCTGTAAAAGTCAGACCAGATTCAAGACTGACATGAACTAAAGCCCTGCCCTAAAATTTTCCTTGAGTTTATTTTTAGGGATCTTTACCTCTGTTTTTCCCTGACAGTCTTTGGCATGTCTCTGGGAAAATCAGTCCTAGAAATCCTTTGGAGATCATGTCCTATTCTAACCCATCCCTAAAATTTTAATGGTAATTGTCATCCAAAAAGAAACAGGCAAAATATTTAGCATACCATTTACAATACTTAACTGAGCAGGTGGCTGTTACACATTATTATTGATAAGGCCATTTCTGGATGCGAGATGGCCAACTTGCCTTCTAATTTCTGCAGCTTTGGGACAGATTGGCCAAGTAAGTCCCCAGCTAACAGAACTTCTGCTTTGGGCTATTCACTATGAAGAGTCACCAGGTGTACGACTAGAAGCTTGCCGCAGCATTACAGCCCTCAAACTTCAAGGAGATCGGGTCAGGGATACCTTCCTAGATGTGCTGCTCCTAGAGAATCATGATGCTGTTCTAAAGTAAGCACTAAACCTCTAGTTCCTGCCCTGACCCCTTGCACTGCCGACTCTACCATCCTTGTTTTCTTTATTATTTGAAGTAGCATTGCATTATAACATTAATAAGTTTCAGGTATGCATCATTAAAAATTATATACAGGGCCTCCCCTCGTGGTGCAGCGGTTGAGCGCTGGGCTGTGAAGTTGCCTGCAGCCTCTGCAGCACCGATTCAATCCCCGGCCACCGGCGAGGGTCCCACATGGCACGACAGACCTCTCCTGCCACGTCCGCTGCTCCCCTCAGCAGTGTATTTCGTCGGTCTGCCTGTTCTGTTCCCCGCTCTGGCTCTGGTGAATTCTCTCACCCTCCCGCGCTTCTGACTGTACCCAGTGCTTGTATAAATAAATCAATCAATCTTAAAAAAAAAAAAATTATATATATACACTACAATAAGCCCACCATTGAAAGTCCAGTTCTATTCTTCAACATACAATTGTCCCCTTTTACACACTCCTCTTTCATCTTTGTTGTTTTTATTTTTTTTTTTTTAAGATTTATTTATGCATACAAGAACAACTGGGATATAGGCCAGAGGTACAGGGGTGAGAGGATTCACCAGAGACAGAGTGGGGAGCAGAACAGGTGGATCCACTGAAATACAATGCTGAGGGGAGCAGTGAGCAAGACAGGAAAGGTCTGCTGTACCATGTGAGTTAGCTTCCTGGTTGGGGATCGAACTCGTGCTGCAGTGGCTGCAGATAGTTTCATAGTGATGAGACTTAACCCCCTGAGCTACCAGGGAGGTCTCTCCTCTCCCATCTTTGTTAACAGAATATACCCTGCCTTTTCCCAGGCTGCCTAATAGCTCAAAAGCACAGGCTTACCATTTATATACTTAACCCAAGTGAGTAAAAGAAAAACTTGCCCAAATTAGATTGAAAACCAAGTTCATGCACCTCTACTCCAGGAGGTTTTAAGTTATTTATTTATTCAACTTACATTTACCAAGTGCCTGTTTAGTACACACAAGTTTTAAATCCCAGCTGAGACATGCATTAACTCTGTGAGCTTAGGTTAATGACTTAAATTCTCAGCCCTTTTTTCATGTATCAAATGCAGATGGTGGTCTAGCTTATGGGTTTGTGGTAGTGACTAATGAAATGACACGCTTAAGTACCTGTCATAAAGGTGATCAATAAATATGCCTTCAAATCCATCATTTCGAAAACTGCACAACATCCCTACAAGTATCATATAGTGATATTTTTGCAAATAAGGCACAGCACAACAACACAGAATTGGAATTTAGAATTGTCTGATTCCAAATCCTGTATTTTCAACCTCCATGCTTTTTTTTAAGGATACTAAGAATAATCTAAGAAGTCCTTGTTATCTTTCAGAGAAATTCACCAGGCAATGAAGATACTCAACTTAGAAAAAGAAGGAAACCAAGAATTGCTTCAAGAGATCAAGAACAAGGTAGATAAGTGCAAGCTTATCAAGAGTAATTTCAGGGTTCTCAAAAGTTCTTTAGAACTTCCCTACCCCAAGCAGGTACGAACCCTTTTCCCCATTACAGAAATACTTTCTATAACCCCATCTGTTCGGTTGTTGGAAAAGTCATGACGTATTTTTTCTCTTAAAAAACATAGAAAAAATACATCATGACAAGCCAGTATATCATTTGAAGATGCAACACACCTGTACAAGACAGGACTGCAAAATCCTATCAGTAAAAAAGGGGGGGGGAAACTGATCAAATGTTAGTCTTATCAAGTAGTCCTCAAAGTCAGGGTTTGTTATTGTTGCTTCTGAAATAGTGCTCCCTTCCCTTCCCACTTTCTCCCCACCACCACCCCCTAAATCCAAGTTCTTTCTATTTTGCAGATAGACATAAAGAAGGAATGAGGGACTGGAGCTGGCACTCTAGATTTTTAGCTACTAATCTGGGCTCTTTCCCCAAAGGAAAGCTCTAGCTAAACAGGTGGCTCAAAGTTTTCAAAGTTGCTAGAGGAGATGAAGGAATATAGGTAAAAAGATAGGTACAAAGGTAAAAGATTCTTGCCTAATGTAAGCCAACTTCCCAAGCCAAGTATTTCTTAGCAAGTTCCTTTCATCATGCCCAAAAAGCTAAAGTAAAAATTTCATTAACAGGCATAAAAACATCCAACTAATATCACAAAAGAAGAATGCTCCCAGACATTTATGTACCACCCACGATCGTTCTTTTATTGATTTTTGATGTTTTGCAGCCTAGTGTGGTTTTTTTCAACTTTATTTGTACTGATTTAGATTCAAGCACTGAGTCAAAAGGACTTGCTGACGCAGAAAATATTAAAGATTGAGAAGGCCATAGGAAAAGTAAAGGAAGAAGCAAAACGTGTTTACCTGCAACCCAAAGAGGGGCAAAGCCCATTGAAACTACATACTTTACTTCAGAAAACTTTTCAGGGTAAGTTTCCTAGAGATGAGGCCTCTGCATTGACGCCTTAACAAGCTTTTCTAGATCTAGGGTATTTAGCCAAATAGTAGAGCTGTGTAGGGTGAACGGCAAGAAAACCTACTTCCTTTCCTTCTAGACCACCATCCTCTCAGTTCTTTGGCTATTATTTTCCGCCTTTTATTTGCTATTTTGTCCCTTACAAAAATGAGGCAGCTCTGTTTGAAGTGATAGAAAAGTTAGGTCAAAAAAGGAAAAACTACTGTGTGAATCTGATTAAGCACCCCTCCCCTCAAAAAAGTCTTGCAAGCTTAACCTTTAATAATGGTTACTGCTAGGAAGTGAGGTTGGAAGGAGAGCTGTCACTTTTGCTTTTTCTGTATATCTCTGCTTTTGCAACTTAAGAAAAAGACTTTATAATAAAGTTCTCAATCTTATGTAACTGAACCTAGCAGTTGTGGTGATAAAGATGAGGTGCGGACATCAAGCTATACCAAAATATACTTACAAAATTTGTGTGCCCACGCGTAGCAGCAGCCTCAGGTCACTCAGCCAGCTGCCTACCAGCCACCACCCCAAACCCAGGTCTTCTGGTTCCAAGTCCAGTGCTCTCTCTGGTTCACCAGGCTCTTTTTCACCAACCATGAGAATATTCACTTGCAGATTTGGGGAAGTTTCTTCCAACTGCCAGAAAAAAATGAGAGTGGAAAGTAACTTGGACACCAGCCTTCCCTCTTGGCCAGCTTGCTACAAGTTGATCAGCTGAGGCCTATGACAATAGCACAACTAGATGACATGCTGACCCTTTGGGAGAGGCTTCTGCCATTGATGCAAGCAAGCACTGAGCTTAACATAAAAATAGAAACAAAACATATGCTTAAAAACAGACTCATAGGTTTTCTTAGATTGTGGTGTTTGGGGCTCAAGTAGCATGACTAAAATGAGTAAACTGCCCCCAAAGTTATAGAATTGGCCCCCGTCCTACAGCCACCCTATTAGTTTTTATCTCTATTACATCACCTCCATCCCCTGCATACACATTTCTTCAAATCATGCCAAATAATAATCTAGCCTTAGAAAAGGAAAACATTCTTTGGCACTTTAATAACTTTTCTAACATTCATACAAACTCACGATAACAAACAGAATACTGACCCCAACCCCTCCCCCCACTGCTGATCTCAAATGAAATTCAAATGAAGGATGCAAATTCCAAATACAAATTTCTAAAGTCTCAAGCAGAATGACACAGCAAGTGCTGTACAGTACACTGAAGCCTGAGAATAATGATGAAGTTGGTACTCGACGACCAGCTGTCAAGGTTACTTCTGCAGAAATAACTCCGTTTTTCCAACTCTAACTTCTGCTTTTACTTTTGTGCCTAGATGAGATATTTCCTAGAAGACCATCTGAGTTTTATGACATTGAAACACTCATAAAGGTAAGTGTGAGCACATTGATGGTTATCAAGGTAAGAACATGAGTTTGGAAAAAAAAAAAAGTGGTGGCAGAAGAGAGGATCACTACTGTCTTGTTTCCAGCCATCAACAAGAAACCAAATCAGCTGAGAGGCATCTTGGTGAGCAGCAGCCCCTTATCATATAACATAGTTGCCAAGGACAGCTGGTCCTCCACACTGTCACAGGGTAGGTCCCCTACTCTCACAAACTCTGGGTAGGAGCGAAGCAAGAGTTCCATAGCATCAGCTTGCTGGGGGTATATCTCCAAGCACTTGGGTTCTTCCAGATGATAAACACGGGAGTTTTCCACTGTGTAATAGAGAAACAAATGGCCTCCTTCACCCACCAGACGAGCTATTCCATCCTGAAGCATGTGCACTTCTGTTTCTGTTGTCAACTGGGCCCCCACGTTCACAGGTTCTCCAGCCTCCCAGCGAATTGGGAGCCCATAAACACTTAGTGCTCTCTCCCTATCACTCAACACAGGGGGCAGAGAATCGTGGATGAAGTCTTTAGCTCGCTGGTCAGCCACAGCATCGACAGGGGCAAAGTGTCCCAAGCGGGCAACCAAGACCCGCACCTTCTCCATGAATGCGGTTCTTCGCGGATCCTTAGAATCCGAATGCTGGGCCCCCATGTAATCCATGAAGTCTCGGGGCAGACCCCGACGAAACTCCACATTTTCCTCCATTGCAGCCTGCACTGCCAGAGGCAGTACAGCCTCCAGGAAGTCACCCCAAGTATTACGCTGGTATGTGGACAAGGTGAGGTGCAGAGAGTGGACTCCATCCTGGCATTCGGCTTGGTGAATGAAGCCCCGAGGAAAATAGAGCAGATCTCCAGGTTCCAGCACTGTCTGCAACACAGGCTCACCCAGATCGTCCTGGCTGAAGTTGGGACTGGATGTCAGGGCTAGTTCCTCAGTCGGAACCCGGGGTCGGTAGACACGCCAGAGTTTCCTGCCTTCCAACTGCAGCACAAAAGCTTCGATGTCGTCGTAGTGTGGAGCAAAGCCCTGCGAGTTGGGGGGCGTGAGATAAATGTTGGACCCTGCCATGCTTCCAAATTGCTCCTGGAGCACAGCCAAAAATTGCCACACGGTGGTCGAGAAAGCCTGCGGGCAGAGGAGGCGCAGGGAGCAGCCGGCTTGGTACAAGGACCACGCCGCGGCGGGCAGAGCGCGGCCGGGAGGGTTCAAGGTCTCGCGCCGCCCGCTGATGTAGCGTGCTGCGTCCAGGTGCTGTCCAAATTGCACCTCCTCGTTGCGCAGCATGGAGTCCAGGTCGGCGGTAGAGAAGAGACCCTGGTAGTAGGTGTGGTCCTGGCGCCGCACCAGCACCGCCTCCCGCTCCCACAGGCGCCGGTAGAAATGGTCGGGCGGCATGGGCGCGATGAGCCACTCAAAGAGGCGCGCAGCCCGCCGCCGGCTGCTGGGGATGCGGTTCAGCTCCGCCAGGATGCGCTGCAGCGGAGAGTCCCAGGGCACCTCCCCGCCCGTGCTGTCCCCCTGAGGTCCCGACAACGTCGCGGCAGCCGCGGATGGCGGGGCGGAGCACAGAAGGGCCGAGGTCTCCACCGCGCGGGCGGGCGCGGCGGGCACCTCCCCCAGGCGCGCGGGTGGCGCGGGGGCCGGCACCAAGCGCGCCGGCGGAGTCTGCGCCTCCCCCAGGCGCGCGGGCGGGGTCTGCAGGGAGCGGGTCGCCGGCGAGGCTTCCAGCAGCTCCGCAGGCCCGATGTGGCCGTAGGGCTCTCGCCGGACCGCGTCCGGGATGGCCGCCGCCCCGCCGGAGAGCGGGTCCCCGGGGTCGTCGACCGTCGACTCCACCCGCGAGTCTTCCGAGTCCTCGCTCGGCAGCGTCTGGGCCCTCAGCGCGGCCATGCGGGACGCGACGCTTCTCCTCAGCTGCCTCCGGATCTTCCTGGGCCTCAGCGGGAGGGCCAGGACCGACCCGCCGTGCGGCTGCGGCTGGCGCCGGCGCCGCAGCCGCCCGCGCCTCAGCAGCCCTGCGCTGGCCCTGAGCCCGTCCATGATCCGACGCTCTTCGGAGTCCGGCGGGATGTGCCGAGAAACCGGTTCGAGCCAAACCGTCTACCTCAGGCCGCGGCTGCGGTGTACTCTGGGAGTGGGCGTGGTCTCCAGCCGCCTCCGGAGGCCACGCCCACTACTCTCTCCCCTGGCGCTCCCGCTCATTCTTAGCCAGTGCTGCTTTAAGCGCCTGGATTCACAGTTGAGCGAAGTCCCTATCATTACGATTACTGTTGCACAGGGGGTGGTGAGGAGACAGTAGGATCAAAACAAGGAGGGGTGGGAATTGTATGGGGACTATAACCAAGATGATAATGCATACATTGTGCAAAAATGAAAAATGATGTAAAAAATATATGAAATTTAAAAAAAAGATTACTATTGCAGAAAGCAATTTAAAAATCAATCCTGACAAAGAAAGTTGGCTACATAACTCTTGCTTTTCTGCATATTTTTGTATTCTCCAAAACGTCCTCATTTCTGAATAGCTTGTTCCCAGGCAACTTTGCACAGGCTAGTGCACAATTCTGTTTTCAAGGAATACCCCCTGCAAAGTTTGAGATTCCGGTCAAACCTGGGGACCACCCAGCCATTTTTACTCTGCAGATGATGACATTGATTGAAATCCCATCTAAGTTCCTCTTCCTAATTTCCCTGCATTCTTACTTAGCCACTGCCCTCTCTGAAAAAGAAGCTATGAACTTTTCAACTGCATTCTTGACATCTGCCCCTTCCCATCATCCTCTTTGGGATTTTGTTTTGTTAGCTACAATTTCTTTCTTCTATCTCACCTCCTCTGAATCTTGAATCTACCTCTTAAATTGGGGTCTCTCATTTAACAGGTACCACATAGACATGAATATGAAATTGTTGAAAATAGCAAGTCCTTGTTATTGCTTTATGCATAAAGATTACTTGTCTTATAATTTAAAATAAATTCTCAGGAATAGAATTGCTGGGTCAAAGGACAGATAATTATGTTATTATTAATAGGTTTTACCAAACTCACTCCAAAAGAGTTTACAGTACTGCAAGCAATTCTGAGTATACTAGACTATGTGGCATCTGGAGCCTTTAGATGGTTCTGTCTGATTCTTCAGTCCTCTTCTCAGTCACACTCCGACCAAACACTTGCCAGATATTTTAAATGTTACCGCTACCTAGGTAGCATGTTTACCCTTTTTTTATTTATTACAAGGTGTATTATCGTTTTCAACTCCCCTACCACAAATAAGTATCTAATCCAAAATGTCAATAGCTGAGGTCTATTACAACTAGTCTTTTTAAATTTAATCTCTCTCCTGTGCGAATTTATAGCACAGGTAGTCACAAAAATTTAAGTGTGTTGGTGGGGACCATAACAAACAAGGCCATTTTGTGAACTACCCCCTTGCACAAAGTTAACTGGCAAGGGCCAGAGTAGGGGCTGAAACCAACCCATATTCTCCTTCTCCCAAATCCTGTGCACTCGTCTAAGGTCGCCATGCTTGGAGGAAGGGACAGTGGAGGGAGCGCTTGCTTCCCTAATTGACATATAGGCTGCATGTGCTGGCAAACTCCCAATATAAGATCCCCTAGGGAAAGCTGAAGGAGAGAGTAGGTCAAGTATGTCATGGAGAGCTTTAATTGCCTTTTCAAAGAGAGTGGTTTTTAACAGAAAACAGATTCATCCTGCAGTGAACTAGGTGAATGACCTGAGCTTTGTTGCTCACAAAACTGAGGACACTGTGTTCAGGTAGAGAAAAGCTGTAAATTTGTCTTTTCCACATTCTCTACCTTTCTTCCCACTTTTCCCTATGACCTCATCTTTTTCTTTTCACAACATTTTGTGATTTCCTCAAAGAATGCTCTTGCTATGCTTTTTATTTACCTTGTGACAGGCAACTTTTGGAATCTGACTCATCTTTAATATCATTTTTCCTGTGGCTTTACTTAGTTCTCACTACAAAACAGGAATATGGTTTGTGGACAAGGAATAATGTCCTTATGTGTGATTAAAAAAAAAGGTAGACAAAATAAGTTATAGTGGGATGCATTTGGGGGGATATATATGTATGTGTCAATGTGTATGTGTTTATCCTTACATTATCCATATATTCCTACTGCTGAAAAAAGTTTGGGAGTCTTTATGCCACAATATTTAGCAGTGATCACCACTGGGTGGTGCGAGTCTGGGTAGATTTTCATTTGTTGCTCTGGGTCTTCTATATCATACATCTATAACTTATGCAATTTAAAATATAGTGTTTTTTAAACAACATAACTTCGCTTTTCCTATTCATCTCACTTTTCCTGATCTCTAGTCATTTCTTGCTCTTTTGTTATTTTGAATAAGTATAATCCCTTTTAAAAAAAATCAAAGGATCTTGACATTAAGATAATAGTAGTTAATACTTGTTCACTAGAGAAGCTGCTGTAGGAAAAGATGTTGACTAAAGACAGGTCCGTGCTTAAATCTACACAGAAAGATTTGAAGCCTCTCAGGAAATTGCCCCAAATTATCTCCCTCACCTAAATCCACTGTTAGTGATTCCTTTGGATTAGTCATTGCATTTCTCACTCATTCTTTATTTAAAATTCAAACACTGGGAGAGCATATTAGTTTGCTGCCGTAATAAAGTATCACAGACTAAGTAGTTAAAGAATAGAAATTTATTTTCTTCCAGTTCTGGAGGCTGGAAATCTGATAATGGGTGTTGGCAGGACTAGTTTCCGAGACCCTTCTCCTTTGTTACATATGGCTCTCTTTTCCCTGTTTTCATGTGGTCTTTCCTCTGTACAAGTCCGTATCCAAATTTCCTCTTCTTGTAAGGACATAAGTCATGTTAAATTAGAAGTCATTCTGGGGGGCCTCCCTGGTGGCACAGGTGGTTGAGTGCAGCACTCTGAAGCTGTCCACAGCCTCTGCAATACGAGTTAGATCCCAGCCAGCTGCGGAGATACCCACATGGCGCGGAAGACCTCTGCTGTCTCACCCGCTGCTCCCCTCAGCAGTGTATTTCAGTCGATCTGCCTGTTCTGTTCCCCACTCCGTCTCTGGTGAATCCTCTCACCCTCCTGCACATCTGGCCTGTACCCCAGTTCTTGTATGCATAAATAAATAAATCTTTAAAAACAAAAAATAAAAAATGTGATCCATATAGTTTACATATAGTTACTTTATATATAGTTACTTTAAAACCTTGTGTGTGTGTGTGTGTGTGTGTGTGTGTGTGTCTTCACAGTTGAATATCTAGAAAAATATATATCAAAAAAGACAAGGGTGCCTCTGGGTAAGGGGATTAATGGCAACAGAAGAACTTTCATGTTTTACTTTATACATTCTGAATTTCTTTGCTTGAGGCTTTAAGAATATAGATCATTACTGTAAATTTACATTTTAATTTTGAGACTACTAATTCTTACTAATTTGTAAGATTGTTTTACCAAATTACTACAAATCAGAGATCAACAAATTATAGACCTCAGGCCAAATTCAGCCCAGTTCCCGTTTTTATCTATCCCATAGACTAAGAGGGATTTTTATTTTCTTAATGGTTGAAAAAAAAATCAAAAGAAGAATCATATTCTATGAGATGAGATTTATATGAAATTCAAAATTCAATGCCCACACTTTCTTGGAACTTAGCCACACTCATTCATTATAAAACTGTCTGTGGCTGCTTCTATGCTACAACAGTAGCTTTAGACAGACTGTCTGAATTGCAAAGCCTAGATAATTACTGTTTGGCCCTTCACAGAAAAAGTCTGCCAAGTCCTGCAATACATCGTGTAGATGCTGTCTAGGATGTTACACTTCCAATTCTTGCTAACCTACTTTCTAAAAGAATTATGGATAGCTATGGCACAAAGAATTGTGAAAAGCTTTTAACTGACATCAAAAATCTTTTCAAGTTTCAATAGAAAATGAAAAATGTTTTCATCTACATAGTCCAGTATTTATGTATTGACATTTTAAATTAAAATAATTTTTTAAAGATTTATTTTATTTATTTATGCATACAAGGCCAGAGGGGTAGGGAGTGATAGGATTCACCAGAGACAGAGTGGGGAGCAGAACAGATGAACTGACTGAAATACACTGCTGAGGGGACCAGTTGGCAAGACAGGAGAGGTTTGCTATACCATGTGAATTAGCTCCCAGGCCGGGCATCTAACTCATGCTGCTGTGGCTGCCAATAGTTTCATAGTGCTGAGACTTAACCCCTTGCACCACCAGGGAGGCCCTAAAATTAAAATTGATATCACTTTTAAATGTATCCAATGAATTTGAATACCACAATTCAATACCTACATCATCCATTTTTAATTTAATTTAATTTTTTTAAAGGGAAGCCAGAGTCTTTATAGATTAATCTTGAAAGTGACAGCCCATTGCTTTTACCATACTTTTTTTTTTAAAAAAGATTTATTTAGGGCAGAAGAGCTAAAAAGAAATTTCTCTTAAGAGGAAATGCAAATGGCCAACAGGCATATGAAAAAATGTTCAACATCACTTGTAATCAGGGAAATGCAAATCAAAACTACAATGAGATACCATCTCACACCAGTGAGAATGGCACATATTAAAAAACTAGCAACAACAAATGTTGGTGAGGATGTGGAGAAAAAGGAACTCTCCTGCACTGTTGGTGGGAGTGCAAACTGGTCCAACCACTATGGAGAGCTGTGTGGAGATTTCTGGACCTACTAAACATAGAGCTTCCATATGATCCAGCAATTCCACTCCTAGGTATTTACCCAAAGGACACAGAAACATCAATTCCAAAGAGCACCTGCACCCCTGTGTTTATAGCAGCACTATTTGCAATAGCTAAGATTTGGAAACAACCCAAATGCCCAAAAATAGATGACTGGATCAAGAAGATGTGGTACATATACATCGTGGAATATTACTCAGCATTCAAAAAAGATAAACATGCAATTTGCAACAACATGGATGGTGCTGGAAGGGATCATGCTCAGCGAAATAAGGCAGAAAGAAAAAGAAAAATACAGGATGGTCTCATAACAGGAATCTAGAAAACTTAAATAAGGGACCAGGAAAAAGAATAACTATAAGAAAGAAAATATCAAAATCAACAAATAACTATGAACAAGAGACACTATGGGGGGGGTGGGGAGAGGAGGGATTGGGGTCAAAATAAGGGGGTTACAATTGTATGGGGAATATAAAAATAAAATTTAAATTAAAAAAATAAAAAAGATTTATTTATTTATGCATACAAGAACTGGGGTACAGGCCAGAGATGTAGGGAGTGAGAGGATTCACCAGAGACAGAGTGGGGAGCAGAACAGGCAGATCTACTGAAATACACTGCTGAGGGGAGCAGTGGGTGAGACAGGAGAGGTTTGTTGTCATGTGGGTTGCTCCCTGGCTGGCCAGGGATGGAACTCATGCTGCAGAGGCTGAGGATTACTTCATAGTGTGGTGCTTAACCCCTTGCACCACCAGGGAGGCCCACTTTATTTTTTTTTTTAAGATTTATTTATTTATATAAGAACTGGGTACAAGTCAGAAGTGCGGGAGGGTGAGAGAATTCACAGAGACAGAGTGGGGAACAGAACAGGCAGACTGACTGAAATATACTGCTGAGGGGAGCAGCGGGCGAGACAGGAGAGGTCTGCTGTGCCATATGGGTTGCTCTCTGGCTGGCCAGGGATCGAACTCGTGCTGTAGAGGCTGCGGATTGCTTCATAGTGTGATGCTTAACCCCTTGCACCACCAGGGAAGCCCTATAGAATGCATTTTACAGAACAATTGGTTAGCTTAATTTATAACATGTAAATATTTAGACATTTGGTATAGGGGCAACCATTTGTACTTTTGCCCTAAGCTGAGAATTCATGAGGATGGCAATCCCTCATATTATTCCATGAAATAATATTGGAACCTGGATTGAAATTAGAATTACCTAGACTCCTGGGGATGATTTAACCTAGGTACAAGCTCAAACCTGGCCCTCACTATATCAGTTTATTGAGTTAAAAAAATAGAGCTATATAGTCTTCACAGGGGCTGTTCACCCTGAGTGAATTCACCTCAGCAAATCCAATCAAAGGGTCTCTTTAATCATAGCTGCAAGAGTGTCTAACAGTTTCTGCAACTCCAATGATCACCAGGCAGATGCCTAAGCTATGAGTGGGGAAATCAGGCATTATCCCCCCCAGCAGGCTCTGACTGGGGTTCGCGAGGCAAGGCTTGAAATCATGGATTCTGTTTTTTTTATTTATTATATTATCTCACAGAGCAGTTGTAATAAATCATGGTTGAAGAGGCATTCTTTTTGGATCTGCCATTCACATGGGACCACAAGTTTAGCATCAGCACTCACATATTAATATTTCTCTGCAGCCTGTGAAACCCCGCACACCAAATCCCTGGTCACGGAGTTCAGTACTGGGCCTAAACACAAGAAGAAGAGGTTTCTCCTCACTTTTTAAACGTCCATGCAGTGCCTGGGATGAAAGGAATGAGATGGGGCCATTTGGATGTGACGACCAACATCTCTAGCTGAGTAAAAACACATGAAGTTTTGTCCAGAGTCATGTCCTCTTCCCCGGAAAGAAAGGTGATTATTTTTCAGATGCACTCTTCTCTTGCTTCAAGACACAAACAGCAACAGACACAGTGACACCCTGTCTCTTCAATTGATATTGTATAATCTCTTTGTCATTACATTTATAAAGAAAAATCTATTTAACTGTACATCTGCTTTTTTAATGTGCATCATTTACACAGAGAGTTAAAGAAAATTGATATCACATTAGGTTCTACAGCATATTTTTCCATACCTATTCATCTGTTGTTTCTAATAACTTTTCACATAAATCTCTATGATGTTAAATGTTGGTACGGAAGTAAAAAATATAAAAAAATGCTGTAAGCTAACACTGTGCCAAACACACCTGACCCAAATTCTGCTTTTGGGCTAAAAGTTTATTTCTCCTGATAGACATCTCAGATGGTGATGTTCTAGAATATTGCCCACTTGCCTGAGCCTTGGCACCCTCAGCCTGTTCCCATATGCTGCCCAGGAAAAACCAAAGAAAAATTCCTCATAAAATTCAAAATATTCTCCTGTACCCCATTCATCTCTGTAAGACTCTGTAGCCTTCATCACTGACCCAATGAGGCCCAGACTGGATTTTGAAAGAGACTTGTACTTCTCATGCCTTTCAAGATCATCTGTCCTCTGAGAACCTGTGAGGGGTCAGATGTTAAATTTAAACCATTTCATTTCCCTTTACTTGCTGATAACTATCACCTCAGCTGTTTTTGGCCAAACATGTAAGTGTATAGAAGAAGTACAGTCAACTCTTTCCTGTAACTCAGTAATGAATGATTAATGTGTTTTAGTTCTCTAACATATCCATGATATCAGAAAAGAAAAAAAGTTTCAGATTTATCTTATAGCTTTTCAATTCAGAAGCAAAAAACTTCACATTGATCATTTATCCATCAATAGCAATAGATTTTAAAGCTCTGGAAAGGAGTCTAGAGATAAGACTGAAGAAGTCAATGCCTTCATTGGAATACACTAGCCTCTCAACATCATACTGTTATCTGGAGTGTGTCACCCCCACAGGGTCATGAAGTTCCCTAACGCCTCTAGATTTGAGATTCTCACAGGCAGTGAGTAGAACACATCAGACTTCTAGAAATATCTACAAAGACAAGGTGATGGAGAGAAACATGGTACACTAAAGTTCAAATTCCTTTCTGTTACTAATAACTACAGGACTCTGAAAATTCCGTTATCATTCTGGATTTTACTTTCATTTGTAAAATGGGAAAAGTAATAGCTATCTCAATGGCCTATTGCAGTGGTTCTCAACTTGGTTACATGTTAAAATTGCTTTTTAAAAATGTTGAAACCTGTGCCTCACCTCCCACAAATTGAGTCAGAATCTTCAAGGATGAGATCCATACATCAGTAGATTTTAAAAGCCTTTTAGGTCACTCTAATATGCTGTCAGGATTGAAGATCGTTAGTGAGGATTTAATGCAAAACAGTTCTTATAAGTTTCTAATTATTCCCCAGTTTGTTTTGAATCAGCAATTGACTATACTTTTGACATGTTTTCTAAGACTGTGCCACTAGGTGTCAGTTTGACCATACAAGTTGGTTCCTGCAAGCTTCTGGTTTCCTGCTCAGAGTAACAACCACATTCCATCCCCACGACCATTTATTTGTTGAGTACCTGTCTCAGGCCAGCCACAGTGCTAATCGCTCTTAGAACATGTGATTTCTAAGTTTATAATAAGCAGGCAATCATGAGGATGCAGAGGTCAGAAAGATTCTGTGACTTGTATAGGGTGCACAAATGATAAAACTGATATTCCAGTTTCATTCATCCATTCACTTATTAAAAAATACTGAGCACTTACTATGCACAAGATACTGTATTTGGTATTGGGGAACCATAGGAGAATATGATTTAGTCCTCATCTCTGGAGTTCATTTTTATCTTTCACTTGTAGATACATTTAAAAAGAAAAGATGGACATCTCCTTTTAAAGTTGTTTTTGGCCTCAGGTTTGTTATATCTTCTTTTTTAAAATATTTATTTATGCATACAAGAGCTGGGGTACAAAGCCAGAGGTACGGGGGAATGGGGAAAGAGGATTCACCAGAGACAGAATGGGAAGCAGAACAGGCAGATCTACTGAAATACACTGCTGAGGGGAGCAGCGGGTAAGAGAGGAGAGGTCTGCGCTTGCCTTGTGGGTAGCTCCCTGGCCTGCCGGGAATTGAACTTGTCTTGCAGTGGCTGCTGACAACTTCATAATGCTGCAATTTAACCCCTTGTGCCACCAAGGAGGCCCTTAGTTATATCTTCTGAAGAACTGAAAAGTTATATTCTTAAAAGGGCAGACTGACTCTTAGGTAGAGTTTCCTAGAATAGCTGTTCCACTGGAATTGGCTGTATCCAATATAAAGAAAAAATTTTAGTTGAACCTACTTGATACCTAAGATGCTAGGAACCACATCTGGCCTGCTTTACTACTGCCTTATTTATTTGTGTATGTTCTCAGCAACCATTTATTAACATAGAGTGTATGTCTAATATTTAACCAACAAATGCTTACTAAATAAATGACTGCCTGGTACTCTATTAAATACTGTCCAAAAAGAGCCACAAGGGAAATGTTTAAAGATGTCTGCAACTCACTCTTGTCAGCATATCAGAATTTTCCTTCCAAAGGTGGTAGTTTGTTCTAAAATGCCCCACTGATTCATCTCTGAGGTGAGAAAATCTCACAGATCTTGGAGAAGGTTCTAAATGAACCATAGAATTGCTATATTAACTAGATTTGATTGTGATTCCATAGTCTAATGGCTGTTCTGGAGTTTTTCCCAAATCACAAGGACAACAGATATACCTGTCTGAGTTGTCATTTACCAACCTGGACCGGAGGGGTTACCAGGTTTGGGTCAAACCTGTAGTCTATTTAATAGTCTTTTGTCTTGGAGGAAAGGTTTTTCAAGTAATGGTCCTTAAACTTGGTTATGAATCAGAATCACTTGGGAGAATCTTTTCAAAATAAAATATGGATCTCTGGGCCCTAATGAAATCCCTGAAACTAGGAGAGAACCTGGGATTCTGACATAGAACCAGGGTTGGAAAAATGGCTGGTTCACTCATGTATGGCTCTGTGATCCATAAACTTGCTCTTATCTTTTCTGTGTTCTGATATTCTGGATAATGTGTTCTGTGTACTTATTACCTAGAGTTTGAAGTAGTATTCCTTTTTATCAGTCCTAATCTTAACTCTGCTGGAAGTTTGTAAATGACATTGAAATTCTAGGATTTGAGGATTTGAGCCATGAGTCCCTGTTGCTCGTATGCATGCTGTTTATGATACTGTAAGCTTAGCTCAGCTTTCCGCCACAAGCATGTCTAACAGTCACATGCCTATTTCTTGAGATTTTTCTGGGTTTACAAGCAGCTCTGGTTTTATCAAGTGATCTCTTTTGCACCAAATAGACAACCTTTGTCCACTTTGTACAAATAGCAGAAAAATAATACCTCTTCCTGTGATGATTGTGACCTGGAATGGCTGTTGCTTAGGTCATTAGTACAGGTACGCACTTGTTGCAGGATTGGGTTAAAGTCCGGTTATGAGTCAGTCTGTTAGCTTTGGAGGTCACTGGGAGGGGAATATACTCTCACGTAAGACCTCAAAGGATAACAATATTCCTTTGAAGTAATAATCTAGATAGTTTGCAGAGCAGAGACCAGAGAAGGAAATGGGAAGGGGATGTGTATAGTAAAGAGTACAGGGAAATGAAATAGAGGAGAAAACCAGATTCATATACCAGTCAAATAAAAGAAAAAGAGTCTAGTTTAACCACTTCCTGAAAAAAATGGAGTTGGAAAGCTACATTTTAGGGAGACCACATTGGGAAGATCATTTTAGAATCTCCAAATGACCCTTGATAAATCAGTGTAATCTTATACATGTGCAGAAGAGAGAAAAAGGAGAGCGAGATGGAGAAGTTATATTATCAGGTCATAGCCCAGAAATCTCTCTAGGCAAAGTAGGCCTGGCCAGAATCTATACAGAAAACTTATTGGAACTTGATTGGAAATTCCTGATATGTCAGTGATGAGATTTTTGGTTGTAGTTGATACAGATCTCAACAATGACCCTGTTCTCAACTGGGATTATCAGAAGATAGATATCCAGGGACATCTATCTTGAGACCCACTCAAGATGAATATACTGTGACCTCTGACTCCAGCACATGAGCTCAAAGATGCTCTGGTTCCTATATGATCAACACTCAAAATAATAATAGCTTTTCCTGGCATTTCTTTTCATCAGGAGATTTCAAATATCTCACAAACCTCATCCCATGGGGAGCTGATTAAGCCACATCTCTGACATTCATCTTTTGCTTGCCTGTAAATTGATGACTGAGCTGGAAATAGAGTATGGGCCTCTGGATTCAAGGTCTCACACTCAACACCCACTCTCTCTTCACTACCCAGTCTTAAGCAGTTTGTGGTATTCCCACGGGCCATAGTTCTTTATAAGGGCCTGTGTATCAGATCTGCCTGCCTCTTTGCTGTCATCACCTCCTACTGACTGCACTTCTGGTTTCCTGGTGTCCTGGCAAATGGGCTGGGCCTTTGATGTCTGGGATGTGAGAATTATTGAAGAATCTCCAGGGATTCATCATGTCTTGTTATACTTCATCCCAATTTATACCTTCCCCCACAATCTCATGTCATCAAAGGGCTGTGTCCTCTGACTTAGTCTTCCTCCTTCTCAATGTCCATCCTCCCCTCAGCAGCAGAAGAGGAAGCCACAGACCAAGAGCTTGTGAGGTAGAAGGAAGGGGATGTAGGCCATGAACCTTGGCCCCAATAGAAAGAGGAGGAGAGGGACCTCCCTGGTGGCACAAGGTGTTAAGACGCAGCGGAGCAATCCACATGGTGCAGCAGACCTCTCCTGTCTCACCCTCTGCTCCCCTCAGCAGTGTATTTCAGTCAGTCTGCCTGTTCTGTTCCCCACTCTGTCTCTGGTGAATACACATATACACACACACACACACACACACACACACACACACACACACACACCACACCTCTGGCCTATACTCCCATTCTTGTATGCATAAATAAATAAATTAAAAAAAAAAAAAAGAAAGAGGAGGAGATAAGTAGGGTGAGCCTTTGCTTTCATCACTCATCTTAAGGGAGTTGACTTTTTTTTA